TAAACTCTGCATTTTAGCCAAGGTTCTAGAAAAACTGATAAACTCTCAAATCAAAAATTACCTGGACTCATTTAACATCTTACCTCCACATCAATCTGGTTTCAGGAAACAACACAGCACAACCACTGCTTCACTGAAGGTTCTTAATGACGTTGTTGAAGCTCTGGATGCTAAGGATTATTGTGCTGCACTTTTCTTAGACCTGTCTAAAGATTCTGACTCTGTGGATCAGAACATCTTGTGTCATAAACTCTCAGAACTGGTTTCTCAGAACACACCATTGGTTGGTTCTCTAACTATCTTTCAGACCGGAGGCAATGTGTTCAACATAATGGTACTTCCTCCAGTTATTTAACAGTCAACAATGGTGTACCACAAGGCTCAGTCTTAGGACCCACCCTCTTTACAATCTACATAGGTAATGTAGGTAAAAACATCCCTAATGCATCCATACATTTCTATGCTGATGACACAGTTGTTTATTGTCGAGCTAAAACAGTTGATAAGGCTTTCCAGCTTTTGAAATCTGCATTCAACATCATCCAGACTGATTTGTTCCACCTCAAACTTGTCCTAAATGCTGACAAAACCAAAGGGATGCTTTTTTCAAACAGGAAGTCGGTCCCAGCAGTTCTTCCTCCGATTTTATCCTCAAATGGTGTCCCCATTGAGTTTGTTGATTCCTATAAATATTTGGGTATCTTGGTTGACTCACATCTCTTTTAAGCTCCATGTGGAAAACTTGGTAAAGAAACTGAAAGTTAAACTGGGTTTCTTTTTCAGAAACAGATCCTGTCTAACTCTGAATGTTAGGAAACACCTTGTATCTGTGACTTTCCTTCCCTCCATTGATTATGGTGACATTATTTACATGAACGCTCCTACAAGAACCTGCAGATGTTGGATGCTGCAGATGTTGGATGCTGTCTATCATGGTGCACTAAGATTCATAACTGGCTGTAACTACCGTACCCACCACTGCACCCAGTATTCACTGGTTAACTGGTCACCATTAACTTCACACAGACTCTCCCACTGGTACATTTTCATCTTTAAATCACTTCTTGGTCTGCTGCCTTCATACATCTCCTCCTACATGTCTCTGTGTGAGTGCAGCTACAGCGTGCGCTCTCAGGACATCATTACCTGCAGTGTTCCCTCAGTGAGGACTGAACTAGACAAAAGGACCTTCTCCTACTCCGCTCCTGTTTCCTGGAATATCTTGTAAAAATATCTGAAGCTCTCGACCTTTGACCTCTCTAAGTGTCTTTAAGAATCTGTTGGACTCCTGGCAGGGACCGATGCAGACATGTTCCTGTTTTTAGTTTCTACATTCGCTTTAGAATCTAGCTGGTTTTATGTTACTTTTTTGGCCATCTTATTTGTTTAAAAAATTGTGACTGTCTATTGTTGTTACTGTTGTCCATTGTTGTCATCATTCTTTGTTGAAATCAGGTCTCTCTTGTAAATGAGTCCTCGAGGCTCAATGGGATTTACCGTCTAAATAAAGGTTGAATGAATGTACACAGGGTCCCAGTTTAATCCAATATCAGGTGCTAATGATCCATTGTTAGGCTGATGGTTCTTCTTGAGCATGTGATCAGCTGGTTTTGGTTGTCAGCAGCAAAACTGGTTGATCCACTCTGAGAAGGTGCTATTTAAGAGACTGAGCTGAATACAGCACCTCAGACTGAGGAAGTTTCTCGGATGAGAGACGAAACGTTTCTACATTTTTTTGTTGATTTGCTTTGTTTTTGTTTTTTTTGTTTTTTGTTTTTTGAATGTCCAGAGGACCAGATTTAACTTTAACGTGGTTTAATGTGGCGCTATGGCTCTGCAGACAGTGCACGTTCCTGTCTTGTTTTGTGGTGTTTCTAGTGTAAAATACTTCCACACAGCGAACATGTTTAGATGAAAAGTTTGTTAGCTGTTAGCCACAGTGCTGCTAACTCAGTCCTCACATTGCAGCTGCTGCAAACTATGAACTGGATTTCCTGAATGTGAGGCGGGTCTTATTACTCTGGACTCATGAGACACGTTCAGGAAATCCAGTCCATAGTTTGAAGCCAACATGCATCATGGATCAGAAATATCGGCAGGTGGATCGGAAAAATCCATCCATCCATTTTCTTTACCCGCTTATTCCATTTTGGGTCACGGGGGTCGCTGGTGCCCATGTCCAGCAATCACTGTGCGAGGGGCGGGGTACACCCTGAACGGGTCGCAAGTCCATCACATGGTCACATAGAGGCAAACGAGACAAACAAACATTCACTCTCTCACTCACACCTAGGGACAATTTAGAATTACCAATCAGCCTAACATGCATGTTTTTGGACTGTGGGAGGAAACCAGAGTACCTGGAGAAAACCCACGCATGCACGGAGAGAACATGCAAACTCCACCCAGAAAGGCCCCTGGACCGGGGTTTGAACCAAGGACCTGCTCGCTGAGAGGCAGCAGCTCTACCAGTTGCGCCACCGTGCTGCCCGGATCGGAAAAATCCAATATGTAAATTATGCTGGTATCGGAGACCGATACTGGATCGGATCGGCCCCATCCCTAGTCTGAAGTCCACAACCATCTCCTTGGTCTTCTTCACATTGATGTGAAGATTGTTCTTCCTGCACCAGCTCTCCACGTGTTCCACCTCCTGCCTGTAGCTGGACTCATCGTTTTTGATGCATCCAACCATCGCTGCATCGCCTGCAAACTTTAAAATATGACCGCCTGGATGATCCTAGTATGAACAGTTTGTCCATCAGGAAAATAGGAAAGACGTGGCATGATGGTGCCTGTGTTTGGCTTGGCCTCTGCCAGGTTGTTTGCTTACTTCATATGCTATTTTATTGTTATGTTTCTGTCTGGGGGGGGGGGGGGGGGGCCTTCCTTGCGGACATATGACCGCCACTCGCTACTGGCGATCAAGTTTGTGATGGTCTACCTTCAGTGTCATCAAAACGGAGTTACATTTCCACCACCGCTGAAACCCGGTGTCCCTCCCGGCGTCTCTCCTCTCTTACCTGTGGATCTGCCCCTTCTCTGGACATGCAGGCGAAGGAAGTGGGGAAAGAGAACCAACTTCTTCGTGCTGCTCTGTCGGCTTCGGAAAAACGAGGCAGCATTGGATGCGGCCAGGCGATTCAACCTCAGATATGTTGGTGTCTGACTAATTCAAATGCTCCCAGAAGTTTGCCACACAGGTTGTCACCTGAAGCTGTGGGCATCCAAAGTTCACCGCGGGAGGAATCCCGACTCACTGCGCAGCTTGCCACGTCATCCTGATGCTGTGTTAGGATTTGTGGTCAGGAGCGAATCCAGAGTGCAGAACAGGGACTCAACTCGGCAGAAATACAAAAATAGGATTTTAATGATGAATAAAGTTACAAAATAACAAGCTGACGGGGCAGCAAAACTTACATGAAAATAGGAAGGAGGCACGGGAAACTCAGGAGGACTCAGGAGACACGGGAGACTCAAGGAACCAGGAAGACTCAGGGGGGAACACAGGAGACCCAACGAGTATGACGCGACAACGAACAAGACAGAACAGACGGCTTATATACAGGGACAAGACGAGACGTGATAACAAACAGCTGGGACGAGACACGGGTGGCACTAATAGAACTAATGAAGGAGCACGAGGGAACACAGACACAAACTGGGCCACAGAAAGGTACCATCCTTACATGCTGCTGTGGACCCCTCTACACGGTCAGCAGCTTTCTCCGCTAAAATGTTGGTAATTAATGCACGCTCTATTGCCAATAAGTCCTTCATTTTAAATGACTTGTTTAGCTCTGAGAGCTTAGACTTTTTGTTTATTTCTGAGACATGGCAACGTGAAAATGTTTCACATTTCCTGGAACTCTGTCCTGAGGGGTGTTCTTTTTTATCTGCTTCACAGATGACAGGCCATGGAGGTGGCACTGCTGTCATCTATAAAATGACTTTTTTATGTCAAATGATCACTTAAACTACTTACAACTCCTTTGAGATGATCATGGTTCGAATAGGCAAAGTTGAGTCTATATGTGGCATCCTGGTTTATCGACCACCTGGACC